CCTGTATTTCTTCTCAGCTTTGGAAAGGAGGCGGCTGCAGCAGGGCCCTAAGTAGGGCTGAGTGTCGCTGATGGGAAGTGTGGGCCAGGTTCAAAGGGTGCCCTTGGCTATTTAACAGTGGGAGTGGAGGACTCAGTCTGGCTGAATCTCTTTTAGAGGAAGTGCACACCCTGCAGTAATGGGGCCTGATACAAGCTAACAGGTTTTTAGGCATATTAACATCCATCCCTTCACCCTGACTTCCCAGGAGTAGCAAAAAGAGTAGACAAGGATTCTTCATCTCGGGGGTGGGGCTGAGAAGTCAGAGACGTCAACTGACTGAAAATGAACTAGAACGGGCATCAGGGACAGAGGTCAGTGCACACCTACCGGTCCTTGGCTCCTTCAAAGAAAGGCAGGCTGAGCTACACTATGTCTTGTCTCAAAGCATTGTGGGTCAAGGCCATAGAAACACTTCTTCAAAGTATCAGTGGCTGTCCAGTTGTCCCCAGCTCAAGGCACCCCCAGCCCCGCCCCGCCCCGTGTCTCAGAACAGAACCGTGCCCCACCGGGTTTTCAACGGCTGCTTGTTTGGAAGTAAATCACCAGGCCTTTCTTCCGAAGTGTCTCTGGAAAGACTTGAACCTCTAACCATTTGGTTTGCAGCTGAGCTCATTAACCATCCGCGTTAGCCAGGGACTTCCTCAAAATCGCTAACATTTATTGAGCACTCACCCAATGCTAGGGGCTGTACCATATTCTGCACAAACCTGAGTTTGTGTAAACCTCCATGCAACGACAGCTGGCCCTGGCCGGTTTTGGTATTATCCCTGCGTCCCCATTAGCATCATCAGGCTCAAGACAGGTAAGTGGCTCACGCCCAGTTCACACAATGAGGGGCCATGATTTGAACGATAGCATGCCCAGAACACAGCAGAAGCTGGGACCAGTCCTAGGATGAAGTGAGAGATCTGGAACAGACAGCATTTCATTCCTTGTCCAGAGGTGGGAGTCATGCACGATGGCATGTGTTCACTCACGGGCCACCTACAACCAGCCCACCACTGGACCAGGCACTAGCGCTTCAGCAGAAGAACAGACAGGCAGGACTCCTGTTCTCAGGGATCGGGGAGCCTGGTCCAGGGTGAAGCAGGCAGAAGTGGAGAACGGAAGAGGTTGGAGAATGCAGACAGAGCCAAGCCTCCTCCTCTTTCAGGTTCGATTCCCACCTGACAGGCATGCCCGTGAGTCTAGACCACGGGCCCTAACCTTCAGAGGGGACAGGAGGCCCATGGGCAGCCTTCCTCTTCAGTCTCCCACCCAGGACCATCCAGAAGTCTGTAAGCCAGCCTGCCCCCCTTCCACCCGCTACGTAAGTGCAGGCAAGGGGCCTGGACCTAATTTAGCTACCATCTTCACTCACCTGTCAGGCCTGGCCCGCTCCCTTCACCCACCTCTCCTCTGTTTCAACAGCCATTTGCTCAACAAATATTGATTAAGCTCCTACATGTAAAAAGCCCCAGGGCTGGCACCTGTGGAAATACGCATTAAGCCACTGTCTCCAGGACTTCAGGAGGGAGGGGCAGAGTCATGGCAGAAGCTGCCATGTTTCGTAACTTCTGCTGCTGAGGTGGGCAGGGGCGCCGCGGACAGAAGCTCAGCGCGATTAAGGAACTTGCTCAAGGCCACGAGCCCAGAAGTGTGGCGCCTGGATCGTACTCAAAGTCCTGGCTTTCTGGGGCTGGCCCCACTCACTGCTTGCCACCCAGCACACACATCTGCAGAAGCATGGTCAAGACGCAGGGGCCACTACCACCCTGACCAGATGGACATTCCAGCCTGCTGCCCACAGAAAAGGTGACTTCAGAGCCCAGTCTAGCAGGTGGTCAAGAAGAAAACACGGGGAAAGTATGCAAAATGCCTTTAGTCCACGTGCTCCGGACACCAACCGGCATTTGCGGCTGCAGGCAGAGCCCACCCGTGCCCTCTGCTCTGCACACGACTTGAAGACAGGGCTCCTGAGGCATTCCTCCTGCTGCACAGCCTCGCCTGGCCACGCTGAACCCCAAGAAAGCACTTCCGGCCACCCCAGTTCACCTGCTCCCCGTGACAGCCCCGAGGGGGTTGGCAGACTGGCAAGCATCCCATTCACGGAAGAGGGAGAAGGGCGGCACCCAAAGAACAGGGGTGGCGTGCATCTGTCTTGTTAGGCTCTGGTTCTCCACCTTCCTCATGCTGCGACCCTCTCATCCAGTTCCTCCTACAGTCGTGACCCCCCAACCATCAAGTTATTTTCATTGCGACTTCATCACTGTCATTTTGCTACTGTGATGAATGGGGGGAACCCCTGTGAAAGGGGTGTCTTGACTCACAGGTTGAGAACCGCGGCAGTCTGACCCATGGCTGGCTCCAGCGAGGCGCTCCTTTAGTAGTGTTGAATGATCCAGGAGCCCAGAGAAGTGAGATGATTATCCAAAGTCTGACAGAGAGCCCCCTGGCCACCCCAGAGCTGGACGCCCCCCACCCACGTAGCCTTTCTATCACACCACACCGTATCCTCCACCCGGTGTGCTCACACTCACTCCTCTGCCTCCATCAGGCCCGTCGCTCTTGGTCCAGGTGCCGGCTCCGGTCCCACTCAACCTTCACCTCTCACAGACCATAGGAAAGGTGTCAAAAGCAACACGTTACTTAAGTCTGATTCCCGGCATGTCACACCACCTCCTAAAATTTGCACCAACCCACAAAAACTAGGCAAGGCAGAAACCTGACAAATCAGGAAGCTGAGGCCTATACAGAGAGGCCACACAGAGAGTCAGCGGCAAAGTGGAAAAAACTGACCCAGGGCTCCTTCTGTAGGGTCTTTCTCCATCAACCCCCAGCAGAGATGGTGGTGGCTGTCCCTGGACCAGAGACCCTCACAGGTCCCAAAGGCCTGGCCCAGTTTTCCCACCTCCCTCACCAATGAGGAGGTACCTAGACTGCCGCTGCATCCAGCCCCACCAGGTGCCAGCCCAGGGCCTCTGAGCTAGCTGCCTGGTGTGATTACAACAGCACTGGGCACACAGTGAGTCCGCAACAAAGGTGAGCTCTAGGAACTGTGGAGTTAGAGCCCTTGGGAACCAAATTTCCCCAGCGACCCTGTTCCCAGTTGACTGTTCAGAGGCCTGCGCCCACCTCCACCCAGGTCAGAGCTGTGTTGAGTGTTTTTCTTCCCAATGACATTTAACATATACATCCATTCATTCATGACTACGGAGGGTCAGAGCTGACTCCAGGGCAGTGAGTTTTGGGTTTACTAAGTTTGGGGCAGGTACTGAGGCTACAGGGACAAAAGTTTCAGCTCCCAGAAAGGTCTTCTCACAGCCTTTAAGGGGAGGGACCTGCCTCTTGGACATGTGGCACAGTCCTGCCCCCACCATACCCCCAGGCACAAAAGTAGATGCTCAGTTAGCAAGGTTTTCTCCTCTTCCACTCATCATTGAAGATCCCAAGATACCCAGCTTCGCATCCGGCTCCTCCTGTTCAATTTAAAATCTAGTCTCAAGAACGCTTCATCCTGGAGAAATGTCCTATAGAAATCAAATTACCCACTCAACTTTCAGCTCTGCCATCAGCCCAAGGTTTCTGAGAAATAACTGGGTAACTGGGGGGGGGGGCTGCTGGCAGCCCCTCTCCCTAAGGGGAGACAGAAAGGAAAGGGAGGGGAGAGGAGGTGGATCAGAAGCTGCCACATGACAAAGAAGTCTGCTCAAAACGGGGGCACTTTCTCAGGAGGCTTTGTAGGGCCAAGGCCGTGTGGAAGCCGCTGGTGAGGCCCTTAGGTCCCCAAGCTTTGAGGAAGCCCTTTGTGGTGTGTTTTAAATTACCTCTGCTTCTCTGATGAAGTGAGGGAAACGGTGCTGTTTCAGGGCTTAGAATTCCTGAGTGAGCTAACACAGGATGCCTTTGGCTTAAAAAAAACTCCAGTCGGCTCCCTAAACTCCCCCCCTTTTAAGTTTAAAAAAGGGAATGAATGTTACCATTTTTGGACATGAGCATTCTCCCTCAAGCCCAGCCCTAACCGCACACTATCCAGAGGGACGCGCCATCCTGCTCACACACACAGAGCCCACTCCCAGATCAGAAGGGGGGGGTGCGAAATGGGGAGGGGCCGGATGGGAGAGGGGGTGTAGTTTAGGGTACGTGGCCGCCTGGGGCAAGGGCTCACCCCGCAGACAGGAAGCAGCGACCTGGTAGGGGCAGCGAGAGGGTTGGGGCGCCCTCCTCCCCGAGCCTAGTTTTCTAACCTCTTCCTGCTTCTGGCCGTTGTGCCCAGGTCCCCCTGCTAGTTCCGAAGCTGTGGCCAGACATACAGAGCGCTGGAGACACAGCTCGGTGGCTAGAGCCCAGTGACCGACCCCGCATCCTCTGGGTAGCCGGGGATGAACTTGCTTGGCTGAGCTCAAGCTCCCAAATTCCCACAGACAAGACAGGAGCTCGGAGGTGCAGGACGTGGACTCCAACCTATCTGCGGCTCACAGCTACCAACCCACAGAGTGAAGCAATAAAACGGTTTGCAGCCCAGACCCCGCCTGCACAGGGCCCACCAGGGAAGTTCGCTTACCACCCCCCGCCCCTCCCCCAGTTAACACAGCCCGGGCCAGAGGGTCCTAGTCCCATGCAGACCCAGAGGCTGCGGCCAATCCTTTGGACGCTTTAATCCCTCGGGCACCGGCTCTACCACCTGGCTGCGGGCGGGGGCTGGGGGCGCAGAGCCCCGGGAAGCCTGGCCCCTCAGGTGCGTAGCCCAAGGCCGCCCGGGTGCGGGCAGCCACAGCACACCATACTGAGAGGTGGCCAGGGGGCAGGGAAGAGAAGGGAAAATCGATCCGGAGCGGGCAGCCTCCGGGCCGGGGTCTCAGCCCCGACCTCCCTAGCACCGCCCCCGAGCTCAGCCCACGCGGGATAGCGACTGGGCGGCAGAAGCCAGGGTGCCGGAATCCCAGTCCCCTCGGCGACCAGCCTGCCGGTTACCCCACCTCCCGGCGCTCGAGGTGGGAGTCCGCCGGCTCAGGGACAGGGGCGCTCTCCCTTCCGCTCCGCGCCTGTAACCCAACACCCCAACCTCCAGCGCCCCGTATCTCCCGCCCCCGCCC